GTGGTAACTCAAAGAGCTGCTCGCAGAAATTCGGGTGATTTTAGATTCCTATGCCATCAAGTTATCCAGACTGCAGAACCCTAGAGTTGGAGCAGAATAAATTTACTGCTCTGAGTAGATGATTTCAGAGATACAGACCCACTCTCCCGAAGAGTCTTTCCAACCAGAACAGAAATACACACAACTTACACATTCCTCATACCTCCCAACTTTATTGCCACTGGCTTATCAGTGTGCTTGGGGAATTTATAATATGGTCACTTCAAGTTTCAGAGAAATATGTGGCGTTGTCAGCTGTTATTTTAACACATCGCTTTTTAATCCTAATTTCATAGCAGAGCTAGGCTATTTCCTTTCTGCTTTGTGGAAGCAATAAAGCTATAACTATGACTTGAAACCCATTTCAATAGCTCTTCAGAATTTGGCTTCCGCATTCCAAAACCCACCAGAGAACTCTGCATGTGGGACGTATTCAGCAAATGTCTGAGAAGAATGAGGAGATACGTGTCTCTCTGAAAGAATTCATCACTTTAAAAAGTCATTTTCCCCCTACAGGCACATTCAGTTAAATTATAATAGCAGCATGCATTTGCTTTCTATGATTTATTGTTTAAAAATATACGGCTGGATAATGCTCCCCAATAAAATAAGGCAATAGAGAAACAGCACGCAAAATTATCATATTCATTGAGAACATATTTACCAAGCCACTAGGCCAGAGCAATTCATGACGCTTACCTGTCAGATGTTTCAAGATTTTTACCAATTATTTAATATTGCTTTTCTTAAAAGTAAGCTCACAGGATTTGAAGCTCAACAAGTACATATTACCTTGCCATGTTATTTACCTTACGATATCAGATAATGTGATATAATAAACACAGGGTAAATTTTATATCTCATTACTCCATAATTACTGCATTCCCCTCTGAGCTCATAAATATAAGTAAACACCATAGAATAACAGCATTTAGGAATTGGAAAAAGATGTCTGGTTTCACTAAAAGATTTTTTTCTTGGTCAAAGTCTAGCTTAATAAAGCAAAAAAATCAAAAGGATCAGCTGACAGAGACAGAAACTCCAAAATGACAGCGGCTTAACTGAGATAGCAAATTAATTTTTAAGAGATTTACACTATTACATATAGACATTTTTAATTATTTTCATTGTAATGTTGAAAATTTTCAATCATCATCTAATTAAATTTCCAAATTAACATTAGTCAAATTTGAACAGTCTCACTGCTTTAATATTTCCATTTAGATATTAGAGAGATTAAAGACACTGTGAGAAATATAAGAAATAAATGCAGTAGTGAACACTAGAGAATTTTGTTTTACAATGATTCTTGCATTTAATTGAATCAAAATTCCTAACAATCATGGAAACATAATCACAGAGCAGCTTGGGAACAAACTAATCATATTTGGACATTCTAGACATTCTTACTAAAAGTCCATGTCTACACAATATCCACTCTGTGAATCACTTCCCCTCTTACTTGTACTTACCGCCACTTAAATTTGGATAATGAATGACCTGAGACTCAAAAGGAGGCAACAGAGAACAATGTTCTGTTCTGACCTTCACAATCCAAAGTCAGTGGCTGTGAATACCAAGAAATTTCTTCTAAGTTATTTGATGTTGGAGAGGAAGGGACCAATGTTTTGGTTGCTAATGGCAAAATGAATTTTTCATTTTCAACAACATTTGCCTTCATGCCTTAACTCTGCAAAAGTTATGCTTTGATACTTCTCTAGTTTCTGTTTTTTCCAATGATCTAGCTTCTTGTAAATATTAATATCCGATGGCTGCACCATGGCAGGTGACACTAGTTCTCCAGTGCTCCCACCCCTACTTTTTTTATTGAAGTATAGTTGATGTGCAGTATTGTTAGTTTCTGGTGTACAACATAGTGATTCAGCTCTACATGTGGAATACTACTCAGCCATGAAAAGAATGAAACAATGCCATGTGCAGCAACATGGATGGACCCAGAGATTATCATACTAAGTGAATTAAGTCATCCAGTCCTCCCCTTTTGAATAGGTTTTCCTTTTATTCATAACAATAACAATTTTAGCTCAGCTCATGCAAGCTCAGATAAATGACCATATTTCCTGAACCCTCTTTTGGCTCCCAGGTGTGGCCACATGACTAAATTCTGGCCCATGGGAGACATCTAGCACTTGACTTTTATTCCTTTATATTTATCTTTTTTTTTTTCCTTTCCCAGTGGGAGAAATTTGGATAGAGCTGAACATGGAGACATGGAGCAGCCTTCTTGAACCATTACATGATGTGGATATAAAGGCTCTGGAAAACAGAACAAGAAAGGAGAAGCTTGGGTACCCAAAACCAGGGAGTGCAATTCCAGTGGAGGTTCACCCACCTCCAGATTTGTTGGTAAGAAATCAATTTCTAAGTTACTTAAGCCACTATCATTTTGGGATTTTGTCAGTCTCAGATGAGCCTAATCATAGCTAAAAGAGTGCACATAACTGACTTTAAACATGCTATGGTAAGTTTGCAACAGCATAGATGGACCTGGAGATCGTCATGCTAAGTTAGGTAAGTCAGGCAGAGAAAGAAAAATACTGTATGATATTATTTATATGTGGAATCTAAAAAAAAAAGACACAAATGAACTTATTTACAAAATAGGAACAGACTCACAGACATAGAAAATAGACTTATGGTTACAGGGTGAGGGGAGAGAGAGAGGGTAGGAAGGGATAAATTGGGAGTTCAAGGTTTGCAGATGTTAACTACTATATACAAAATAAACAACAAAGTCTTACTGTATAGCACAGGGAATTATATTCAATACCATATAATAGCCTATAATGAAAAAGAATCTGAAAAGGAATATATATTTGTATAACTGAATCACTGCATTGTATACCAGAAATTAACACAACATTGTAAACTGTGGTAAGGCAATACCATGTTTCATTGAGCCCAGGGTATCATCAAATTTAAGAAGCATCCCAATTTCAAAGGTGTAATAGGGTGAAGAAAATGTGCATCTGGAAATGGATGAGCTATGATATTTCCTAAAATGACTTTCTTAGAACACGAGTTCTGAGGAATTGTAATAGATAATTATACAAAGAGGAGTTGCTTAGTCAAACAGTTCTGAGAAGTACCGGCTTTAAAAATTAGATTTTTGTCCTCGCTGCAATATTTTTTTATAAACTACTTAAGTGTCGAGAGACTCTAAGAAATGAAAATAATGTTTGTGATTTTAAATGTGCATGGCCCAATGCGAAGTACCTTGCCTTATTTCTTTTTATTTCACTTCATTTTTCTCCGTGAAGCAGATCAGAGGGCTAGTGTTTCACAGAACACACTTTGGGAAGAACCACAGCATGGACTAGATAGAAACTGACCTGGGGAGGCCAGGGAGTAGGTGCCTGTTACATCAACACCCTCAATCACCTCAAGAATCTACTTTTTAACAGCCCCAAATATTTGTTCACAGAGACGGGAAAAAATTATTTTCACATTTCTTTTTGAAGCTTTGTCCTGCTGTGATCATTTCAGCCCCACGGTGTTGTTCCAGTCGTGTTCAATTACATCACAGTGCTGTGCATCAGACTTTGACTAGTATAGAAAAATAAACTGAAAAGTCAGACACCAATTTGAGAGATAAGACATTCATTCTGCCAGAGGTACAGCTGCGTAAGGAGTGAGACCAGGTGTATAGCTTCTACAGTTTCCTGAAGAGTTTGGGGTCCCATTCTGAGAAGGAGGGAAAGAAAGAAAAGAGAGCTCCTGGAGAGACATAGCAGATGCTTTGATGCTCTTTGAACTTGAAGACCCTTAATTCAGGAACAGCAAGAACACTGGCATCCGATTCCGTCCCCAGCTCTTGACCCATTGAGCGGAGGAGATTCTCAGATGAGATGCTTCTGTACTTAAACAGAGTCCACCATGCCCCCGTGGTACCACTTTTCTGCAACATCACTGAGACCTACCATATCCCACATAATTATTACACAAGCCTGATGCCATCTGCATCACATTCATATGTGTGGAGATAAACCTCAATTTTATGGGAAGGAATAGTCATATTTGTTCAATATTATATAAAGAACGTAACAATAGAATTGTGTTTTTTACTTTTCTCATCAGTGTGTTGGTTTCTACAATGACTTCTGTTTACACAAGTGATAAAGGTTATTGAAATCAAGTAGACATTTGCTCAGGCAGGGTTATTCCTAGTTAAATTAAAAATTTTTTCAATAACCTATGAAGGGTAAAAACGAAGCTTGGTGATAGTCACGTTGATTTTTTTTCCAAAGGTAACTCTCATCCCTCAGACTGTCACTAAAATATATTTCAGCAAGGAAAAAACAAACTCTTCCAATTATAACTAACAACTGGAGAAACAGATCTAGTCAGTCAGATAGTGTATCTTCTCTAGATCGTGATAACATCTCTACATGATTAAATAAATTTTCCTCTCTCACCTCAATGATCAGTGGTTTCAAAAGTTATGATGTAACACATAACATATTATTTTACTTTAACTTCCAACAAACAATGGAAAAAAAGATATTTTTTTCTCTGTTACTAATGCCAACTTAGACACGCTAAAATCATCTATATTGGGTGACTGGAAAAAGATGTTGTACTAGTAAACACTGCAGTTGACAAAAAAATTTGGAATATTTTTACATGCATCAATCTGATACCATATAATATAGTAAAGCTTCAGGTTTTAAATGTTATACCAGCCTTCTTAGTGTTTTAATAGTTTCCAAATAGCTCTACCTAAGGTGTGATATTTACCTGTAATAACTATTTTTCTCCCTAGGGAATGATCAACAAAACTATACATTATTTTTTTTTAAACTAAACCAAGTAAAGAAAAGAACTCTTAAATTTTCCCATTTCTATTTGAAAATACTGTGTTTTTTTCAAAATATTTGTAATACTTGTAATAGGATATAAAACAGTGAAGCTTCTTGAAGTTCTCTCCCAAATTCAAAAGCACCTGAACATTATGCCTGGAAAGACAATCAGGTACAGGGTTGTTGATTTGATTAGATTTGATTTGATCTGATTTGACATGATTTGATTTGATGTGATTTAGGAGCGTAGTAGACAAACTTTCAGGGTCACCAGAAATACATAAACTCCATCAGGGCCAATAAACCCAGAGCTACACCTTTCTTTATGAAATAAAATACCCCAAATGATGAAGCCTTGGATGATTTAGTTCTTACAGAATTTATTTGTTTCAGAAACCTGCTGTTTTCTCAAGGTTAATCCAAGGGAGAAAGAACGTTATATATTATACAATAACATTTCCTTAATGCTCTCCTACAGTCTGTGTCCTAAGCACTTCTTATTCATCACTTCATGGACTTACAACCCTGTGAGCTTGGGTACCACTGCTGTCATCATTTCAGCCAGACTAGACCCAAGCACATTGGCTGCAGAACTCACATGATATAAGTGGGAATGTGTAACTAAATGCCCTGCCTACGCGTGCCTGTTAACAGACCTCACCTGGGACGTTTCTGCTGGCTTGAAAGACCTCAGTCCACGCTAGTTTTGCATACAATCATAGTAATTATTTTCTTTCTGAGACACTGGGAGAGTTCGATTTTAGCCCTGAATATAATTCTGCCCTCTCCAGTGCTTTTATTTCGACAGTTTAGCTTGAGTTAGCATTTCCTAAAGGGTGTTCTGTGGAGTCTAAATCCTGGAGAATATTAACAATGATTTTAAACAAACAAACAAGGAAAGGGTCTCTGATGTCATGAATCTAGGACACACTGGGTGAAAAAAAAGGTAGAGGAAGGGTTCTCAGGGTCTTCAGAACGCTAGTGTAGAGTGTGACTCTTCGGAATACAGATGTAATACACCATTTCACAAGTGCATTTGACCACAGATAAGACACCTTTATTCCAAATCTTGCGAGATTGGTGGTCCATGGAACAAATGCTGAGGAAATATTGAAATATGGCTTAAACCATGTCATAACCCCCCATAAGGAGACAAAAGGCTTGACCAGTAGAGTTGGAAGTCCCTGTGGAGAGCTACCCTGCGAAGGCCAGAGCTCCATCAGTCCCACTGCGAATTTGTCCAGACAACACACAGAAGTTCCAAGGAGCATCACTGGTTCATCCAATCGTTCTTAACATTTTTAGTGCAGAACAAGTTGGAACAGAGCCATCCAATGGGGGTGTTACTGGGAACAATCTCAAGAAATAGCCTTCAGGAAAAAATTAGGCAAAGTTTGATCAGCTGGAATTTTCTGACCCAAATCTAGACATGGTTCTAAAGAGGGTGAAGTGAGCCTTCATACACAACTAGGAGCCACATGATGTGGGTAGGACCCTCTCAGCTTGCTTTCTCTCCCTTTTTCCACTTCCTCTTGTCCAGTCTGCTGGTACCCAGAGAACACTGTAAACTAATGTTTCTTATTGTCTGCCCTCACTTGGGACTGCCACCCAGAAAGGGCGTCCCAAAATCCTTTAGCTCATTTTTCTAATCTCCCACTATCAGTAATATATTTCTATTCCTCATTGTTACAAATCTCACTCTACAAAAACTCATTTGAATTGAACTAACTCCTATAGATTAAACCAATTTTTCCTGTTTTCCATAGATGATCATGAAATTCTCTGTGCAACACCTGTTGACAATCGTCAAAGTCACACTCAGCAGACACATGATGGGGATAGTGATTCAAGCCAAGCAGTGGAGCCAGGAGACCAGCCGAGGAGAAGGGCTCTCGGGGGGACTCGGGAAGACTGACCCATGGCTCATCTTTCCCACTTAAGACAAGGAATTTGATCAATCTCAGTTCTCATCCAGGGGATGTGCTTGAGGAAAGGGAGAGGTTTGGGGCTGAGGACGCAGTGGTATCTCTTAGAAAAATTATTTCACTGCTGGCAACTGCCTGCTCCATCTGCACATATATGTCAGCCAATGTTGAAAATGGTATTTTTTAAACAGTTGAGAAAAAGTGGGGGGAGGAGTTGTCCTGAGAAGCAAATCCACACAAAAATCATTCATTTTCACTGAACTCAGGAGTAATCTGATATATTGGGATATTTTCTATGTAGTCACCAGGCTAAGAATTAACCTATTTATTAAGCTCTTCCTGTGACTGTTAGTTCAACTCAGTTCATGCTGACTTTCTGTTCTTCATAGAAGTACTTGTTATATTCCTGATTTTCTTCTATCAGAGAGGAGGACAATTCCAACACTCAGAAACTTTTTGATAGGACTTCAGTCCTCAAGCTACCGTGCCTTAGAAATGGGAAGCAATTTCCCTGCCTTATATCCTAAGTGGGTAATAGGACACTTACAGGTCAGCCACATTCTCCTCACTGCTTTTCTGGAATTGCTTGGCACTTTATACCATTAATTCATAGCACTAGGTAATATAAATGCTCCCAAACTAATCATTAAGATTTCTTTTCGTTTAAATATCACCGTAGTGACCTTTATGCTAACAAACCCCAGGAGCTAATAAATAATTTAGAATTACATTTCCTTTTTCTATGCGATGGTGAGTGGCAACCTGGGAAAGAAAATGTACCTCATTTTGGTAAATATAAAATATTCTAAGTTGCGAAAAATAAAGCAAATTAGAAAGAAGGTTGGAGAAAATGTACATAGACACTCAAATGAATATTTGGCTAACTGAGACCCTCAACAAAAGCAAATGAAAGAGCGATCTTCATAAAGGGGGTGAATTTATTGTTTTCTTAAACAATTCTGCCTCTTTCTTCCCTAGACAAGGACAAAAATGAAAAAGAAAACAGCCAGAAAAAAATAAATAATTCTTTTCCAGTTGATCACATAGTTAGGTCAGTAAAACTTATGAGTCAGGATGACCCCTCTAAAGATTGTATATCTTACTAATTGCAGGAAAGATCCAAAAATAGATCTAAGCTGATCATTTCATAAAGTTAGGTCTGGTTCCAAGATTAAACAGCTCTTTGCTGTTCTGAACCCGCATTGGCCAAAGCTAAGTGATTCTACTGGAACTTTAAGTGAGACAGGAGGGAAGGGAGCAGGGCACAGCCACTCAAGGAAGGACAGCAACTTAACACCAAAAAGGTAGAAGATTCACCAAAATGGTGGAAGATTCACCTCCTGGTTGGCCTTGAGGATTAAGAGGTTTGACCTCTAGTAGACCTTGAGCTTCATTATATGCTCATTGTAACAGCGTGATCAAATAACATGCCCACAGGCGCCATGACAGCCCCAAGGCTGACCGCAAAAGGCCAAAGAATGGGCGGTGGCCCAGTTCCTGGGAATCCCAGCCCCTCCCCCCCAGGGCAGTTGGATTGACCCCACCTGTAGGCATGTGAAGCTACTGAGCCCATAAAAAGTGACACCACCACGCCTAGTGGCCCTTTGCGCTCTCTCCCCACTTTGGAGACAGCCCGCACTCTGTCCATGGAGTGGGCACCTACTTTTACTTTAACCTCAGCACCCAACCCCCACACCTCTTTCCTTGCCTTTCTCTTGCCTGACACTCTATGCAGTATGTAGCTCTCTAAATAAATCTCCCGTTACTCAACGGTGGCTCGCACTTGAATTCTTTCCTGTGCAAAGCCAAGGACCCACACCTGGTGGGACACATCCTGGGGGCTCAGCCGAGACCTGGGACACGGCCCTCCTCTTGCTGCACATCCGTTTTCCTGCATCATAAGGACTATTTGTGGGGCAGATCAAAAAAATCCTGGCTCTGCAGTTTAGATAATTGGGCGGTGGTTTTTCAGTCCTCTCAGTCTCCATGTGACCTGACCTCGCTCTCGCGGTGGTTTTCAGTCCTCTCAGTCTCCATGTGACCTGACCTCGCTCTGTCTCAATGTCCTTGTCTTTAAAATGTGGATAATTACAGTACCTACTATGTGGGAGCCCAAGATTGGGTTAATAAATTGTAACAGACTCTATGACCTTTAAGAAGAACAAATGTGCTTAGTTAATAAGTTTCCTAGCCACTTTCCTAGCAGGTGCCTATGCATCTGCACTTGGATCTCCTTGCCCTAAAAAGCAGAGACAACCCCTTGCTTGCATACTTGAGGTTTCAGCTTAGGGCTGCTTCCGCAGTGGTAAAGCCATTGTGTGTCCCTTGCTATAAACGCAGGACACAGCTCGTTTATCATAAGCATAGGTCCGTAGTTCAGGGTTTACTCTGCTCGTTGCAAAGCGACGACCCATACACTGGTTATGCTTTCTGCTGTTTAGATAGTCTTTAACCCCCAGGACAAGAACCTGGTGGTCCGGTGGTCTGTTTTGCAATCAGCTTCTTCTATCTGAAGAATGTACCTTGGCCCCCTCCCTCCAGGACTGCCCTGAGGATAAATTAAGCGTTTGTACCCATTGTGGAATTTACAATCTCTACCCATTCCTTAAGCTCCTGCGTTCCATGACACAATTGTTTGTGATCTTTTCTTTGATTGTGCACAGTAAATATGGGAGTGTTTGAGAGGCTTGGGGAGTTGGTCTCCGACTCCTTCTTGCTCTCTTGACTTTCCACAGAGTCTCGAGTAACTCATTCCATCGTGGTGGGACCTCTGCCGGACAGAACCCACACGACTACGTCAAACTGCCGTGGGAATTAGGTGAGATGTTGTACTAAAATGCTTAGCACACAACGGATCAAGAAATGGCAACTATTGTTAACTTCCCTGATACTTGTTGTAACAAGTTATATAATTGGAGTGATAACTCAGGGGATGACATCTCTCGAATGTAAAGCACATTAAACATTTCATAAGAAGCCTGGGGATTTACCACTCATCCAATAGCAAACAGTGGTCCTGCTTCCTCTGGGATGCTGAGTGCTTCTGGGGCACCAGGACCAGACACCTGCAGAGGGAAGAGGCAGCTCTCCAGCAGCCTGGGAAGCCCTGCTCTGCTTTGGGCAATTTTAACAGTTCTTAAATATAATCAGCATCTCAACGGAGAGACACCACACATGGAGGGGTAGCTCTAAGTTAGAAGTCTGTGATAGCTGGAGAGACAGAAGCCTCTTGATGCAAGATACCTAGTCTCAGATGATAACACCTTGAAATGAAAGGGAAAAGCAATACAAGAATAGAAAGCACGTGAGTGTTAGGAAACATGACAATTTCACACAGGAATTTGTCAGGTCATCAGGCAAAATCCGAAGGCGTTCTTTAAATGGAAAATCTGAGGATTTTTGAGGATTAAACTTTTACTAGTCATCATAGCGTACATATCTGCAGTCACTGGCGTTTATTTTACCTTCATTTCAGAAGGGCTAGCCCAAGAGCCATCAACTCTGTTTTGATGAATTCACAAAATAACTAAGTTTACTTAAAAAAAAAAAAGACAACTAATGACTTCCTTAAGCATTGGGTCACCAAGTAGCCAACAATCAGGAACATGAATTTCTATGAAATTATTAGCAGTATAAATGAACACACAATTGATCTTAAAGATTGGAGACTACAGCTAACTTTCAAAGTTCACATGAAGCTTTTGAGGGATGTAACAATCATTTGGGGAAATGGTTTTATATTATTATTATTATTATTATTA